TAAAAAGTATAACTATTGCACTGTGTTGTACAGCTGAAACTAATTCTAAAAAATGTGTATTTCATAATAAAAAATAATTAAAAGAAAAAAAAATTGAAATTCATTTCCTCTAGATAGCTGCAACTTTTCATGTTTCTATGTACGCATTTAATTTCAAGCCTAAGTCCTTCATCTACCCTGGCACGTCTATCTTTACCATGTGTCCACAACTCTAGGTGCCAGCCTAGCTTTTGCCCAGATAAATCTGATAGGGTACTAAGGAGTCCAAAGAGGCATGACACGAGACAAATGAAAGACACTAAAATATTTAGTCTACAGAAAACCCTTAAAGTGGGGTGTAATACAGACCTCAAAGGCTGTCTGACCTACGAGGAGCCAACCTCATTCTGTATTTTGTCACAAGATACAAGGGAGACCAACAAGTATTAACACAATACAGAAAATTTTTCTGGAACTACAGCTATGCAGGAATTGAACAAAGCGGCTCTACTCGTTCCTACAATAGTTCTCCGTCTCCCTCAGAGTAAAGATGCTGGCCAGTGAGGCTCTATGTGACTTCACTCTTCTGCGCCTCTCTGACTTCATCTCCTACTCACGCCTCACTAACTTTGCTCAGGCCATACTGGTCTCGGGATTTTTGAACAGACCTTGCAATTGCTGTTCCCTCCATATGGAATGCTGTTTACCCAGACAGCTGTGCATCTCACCCCTTCAAATATCACCCTCTCTGTTAGACCTTCTTCAACCACTTAAAACTGCAGCAGCTTCATTCACACCCATCCTGCTTACCCCTCCTTCCCTGATTTTTCTTCTTGAAACTTACCAACACAGAAACACTGTATACTGTATCTATTTTGCTCATGATCTATTTCCTTCCACTAGAACATGGGTCGGCAAACTTTTCCTACACTAAACATTTCCGACTTTGTGAGCCATATGTTCTCTGTTGCAACTACTCAACTGTTGAAAAACAAAAGGCATATAAAATAGATAAACACCAGTGAGCATGGCTACGCTTCAATAAAACTCTATTTACGAAATAGGCTGCCAGCAAGATTTGACCCAAGGGCTACAGGCTGTCAACCCCTGTGGTACACGGTGCACTGCATGAAGATGGGATTTTTGTCTGTCTGCCTCACTGCTGTAATCCCAGATCCTAAAATTGTGCCTGCCACACAGTAGGACGCAGGAACTAAAATATTTATTAAATGAATATATATTCTGGTGGAATATCCATCAAGAAAAAGAGAAACTGACAAGAAAACAAGTAAAAAAGTGTTTGAGGGCCGGCCGAGTGGCGCGATGGTTAAGAGCTGGCTTGGGACGCCAGAGGGCCCCGGTTCAGATCCCACATATGAGGGCCAGTGACACTGCCCTCTACAGCTAAGATGCTGAACAACAGCTCAACCTGGAGCTCGGCTGCCGTGAGTCACCGGCGACGGCGTAGGCTGCAGCCCCTGTGGCAGTGGGTTGCCATGGGCTACCATGTGTAGCCAGCAGCCAGGGTGAGCGGCCAGCAGCCACAGTGAGCGGCCGTCCAGAAGCCGGCAACTGATGTGCCTCGCCCAGGAAGAGCGCAATGATGGTGCCAACTTGGGCCAGTGAAGCAATGTCCTCCACAAGTAGACTGAAGAACAAAACGACAGCAACTTGTCTGTTCCCCTTCCCCCAATTCCCCACACTGTTCCTAGCCCCCAATTCCCCAATAAAAAAAAATATCTTTAAAAAGTGTTTGAACATATGCATTGATTGGCCTGAGAAGAAAATATTCTAAAAATTAGCTAATTATGCTAAAATCGGCTAAAATGTGAAAAAAAATGACAAATATATCATATTTCATTCAATTCTTTTAAGATTTCTTACTGGTTATAATTGCTAATCATTTTATAAGTGGAATTTTTAAAAATAAAAAAGACAAATTTTTAAAAAGAGCAGGCCAGATGGTCAATGGTTGTAAGTGAGCATTCTCGAACTGCATGGGTGTGAACCACACTCTCTAAACGAAGGTTCTATTCCTGCCATTCTCAACATGGATACTAATCAAAATCATCTGAGAAGTTTTTCAAAGAAGCTTCCAAAGTACCCAGTTCTCCTTTAAACTCAAGGAATTGAAATGTTTGGTTTTTAAAAGCCTCCATATACAAAATACAGAACTCTCTTGAGCAAAAACTTCTTAAAAACTTTTTTGAACACAGAGTGCTTGATATTTATTCTCTTTTGGGGGTAGGATGGGGTGGGGTGGAGAAGAATCTGGGAAATAAACACAATTCACCCTATCGTGAAAAACATATCAATTACAACCTTTTAAGTGTACTTTCTTAACAATAAAACGACCCTTAGTGTTCTTACCAGTATTTACAGTTTCCTGATCAATCATGCCTCCTTCTGCAAAACCTTCCAAATCATCCACTTTAACTTTTTCCCAGGGTATATATGTGACTCCAAGATCCACATCCCAGAACTGTTTGTATTCTGTTTTTACACCTTTGTTTAAAGCCCAAGCAATCTATCAGAAATGAAGAGAGAAAAAAAGAAAGCTCATGTATACTATAAAACAAAGAAAAACATTGAAAAACATGCAAACAATATAAATACAAATAAAAATAAAACCAGTTTTAACAATCAGATGAATAAGCATGACTGAATATCAGTAGCCAAGGAAATGTTTTCCATGCATTTTTTGTTTTTGTTTGTTTATAAAATAAAGTCTGCATTAATAGTGAGGTGTTTGTGAGATTTATTTCTACTTTTTAATGAAACTTTTATAAATGACATCTCCAGAAATAATATCCAAATCTAATTTTCACCATTAAAATTTCAAGCTACATTAGCAATTAGAATAGTTATTATAATTTAAACAAAATCTTGGTACTCCAGAAAAGAGGAGACCAGTGAACTTTAGTTTACATAGAGAAACTCTCTGCCATCAAATAACAAGGTATGGGCATATTAACTCCCTTGAAAGCAGTTATTTTAAAGTTTTTAATTCAGTTGCAGAAACTAATGGAATAAATTATCTCTAAATAGCATAAATGAAATGTAAATTACTCACAAGAAGTAAAAATGGAAAAATACACAATAAATACTCAGTTTAAAGACTAGGAAAATAAAAATATAAATAAACCCTTCCCAAGGGTTGTAGAAGACCAGATGTTAAAAAGAAGAAATTAATAATATAATTAAGGGGTATGATTAGGAAGCACGAGGGAGAAATGAATGTAAGGCAAACCTGTACAAATGAAAAAGGTCTGCTCATAAGATTTTGGTGACCTGGCTGACAAAAATAACTGTATATGTGTGATTGCAAAGACCGTGTGACTCCAGTTTGGTTGCTGTTTTACCTATATCTAATTCTGTAACTCAACAATACTGAAATAATAAATTTCATTGAGCTTTGCCCATAACATTAAAAAGGATGAATTAAATACAGGAACACTCTAATAATCCAATAAAACAAGAGCATGTGCCTCCTTCCCCTCATCTCACCTTAATGACCTTGGACCCGATTTTGTATGATCCAGAGCTAAGTTTCTGAAGAGCCCGAAATGCATCTTGTCGATGAACCATGCAGACATAAGCACAGCCCCTGGGAGGAATCATCTATTAAAAAAAATGTTCTTTTTAGAAGGGGTACAAGGCGGGCAATTCATTCTGGCATTTTATAATTTTAATGAAACAGAACATTGTCTACTGACTAATATGAATTGTTTTCCCTTTTTTTTGTCCAGCTATGTTTATTGGTTCAATTCATGTACAACTAATTACTTAGTCTTTAAAAAAAACCCCAAAATTCCCAAACCCAAAAAACCCAAAACCTAGTTGGGTCTCACTCTTAAGCCATGATATATGAGTATGCGAAAACTTGAATATCATTATGTCAATTAAAGTTTTCTTAATATAAAGAACTATTTTAAAAAGTATAAAAACGTGCATATGTATGGCCAACATATTTGAAGGCATACTACTTATTCACAGTATTATTTAAATTTTTCCAAATGTTACATTGAGTAACATGTGAAGAATTTCTGTTTTGGAGAAGTACCTTAACTTTAATATAAAATCTATAATTTACGACAAATGATAAACTAAAGCTCTTCAAATTTAAAAAATTTAATTTTGTCCATGTACTTCTGGACATAGGTTTAAAATGAACAGGAAAAGAGCAGTGTAAGGATGTGAGAGTTTTATTTATAAACCATTTAACTATTCTATAGACTACCAGATCATAAAATTATCCTTAATGTATTAATTCAGAATAACACACAGAGTATGTTTCTTTTTTAAGAGCTCAAAAGGTGTTCTCTCACTTTATTATTATGCAACACCTACTAAGCTCTATTTGTCAAAATAAAAACAAAAACCTCTCCTTTAGACTTGCTAACACTTCAAGCTACTGCCACTTTAATACCAAACCTTTCAAAAGACAAGTCTATCTAACCCCTTACATACTTCAACTCTTAAGATGTAGATCCAATTCCTTACCAACCCACTTAAAATATTTTCTTCAAAGTCACTAATGATATACTTAATCTAAATCAAACAACCTTTTCTCAGTCCTCAAACATCCCTAAAACCAAGTAAAGGTTTCTAAATCTTACACCAGTTTTTCAAATCCCAGATTTTATCACGTAGCCATTCAGTCCACTTCAGTTCGCAAAATAATGTAATGACTATTATTTGTTGAATACTATGCTCTTAAAAGGTAATCCAGAGGAAGAAACAGACAAAGCAAACTAATGCCCAGATTACTATGGTACAAGAAAGACTACAAAGGTCATAAACCACCTGAAAATCCAAAATGCTACTGGGATTCAGGATCTGTTCAGAGCAGTGGTCCCTAGCTTTGCATGAGAATCACCTGTGTAACCGCGGCCCTTTGGTAAGATTCTAAAGATACTCATCATGGGCATCTCTGTTTTTTCAAATGTCAACACATTTCTGATACGCAGCTAGGGCTAAGAACCACTAGCTTAAGGATAGGTGAAAATTAGAAAAATTTTCAGGTTGTATGATCATGGATTCTGAACGACTGTTATGTTTTGACAGGTGAAATTTAAAAAGACAAAACATAAGAGAAGCCTACAGCACTCTCATGGTGTAGAAAGAGAATTTGAAATAGCTAAGCTGAAGCACTCAACCAATCACCTATTTATTATCTGTGTGACTGACTTAATAAGTTCCTCACTGGTAAAATAATGAGATTTGAATTACTTAACCGGCATCTTGTTGAGGCTTTAAGCAGATCATACGAAATGATCAAACTCAATTCAAATAAAGAGTGCTGTTACTAACGCAGAAGAGTCAAATTTGGCCACGTAAGGAATGTTGGGACCTAACACTAGAAAGGAAAACCAGCCAATTTCCCAGGAAATAATGATAAAAGGTCCATAGACATAAAAGTATAAGTTAATAAAATGAGGATTAATGAATTATAAATCTCCTCAAACAAATAAAAATAAAACAGTTCATTACTTTTAGCCCCAGAGGAAAAACACTACCTATGAGCTAATGTTCAGGTGATTACTATTCTGTGGGACTCAGTTTCCTCATTTTCTATAAAAAAAGGAATTAAACTAGATCACACATAGGGTTCCTGCAAATTCAAACATTCAATGTTTTTAGGAATCAAGTGCTACACTGCTATAAAACCCCTAAAGATTTCTGTTAGAATTCCATTTAAAAAATTAATCAAGCAAGGCGATAAATAGCAACAGAATAAACACAAACGATGCAACGCAAAGAATCCTTGTAAAGCTGTGCCTTATTTAAGGCAGATACTACTGAGCTAATTAGGAACCAAAGTGACTCTGTATGAGTGAAAACCCCTATTCTTTTTTTCACCTTAAACTACTGTTACAAATGATACTTACATTAATGGATTCGATTTGTCCAAACTCTTCAAACAGGTTGGTTAAATCCTGCTGTGTGGCCTTCTTGTCCACCTGACCAACCCAGAGAGTAGTGCTACACACTGTCAAGACATAAGAGGCAATTGGCCTAAATCACACAGACAAGTTACTTTTTCAAGTAGCTGAGAAAAAAAGCACTGATAACAATAACGGACTAAAATTTAAGACAGCGTATTTAAAATACGTGTTAAATGATATTTGTATCTATCATATTTAAAAATTAACTAAAATCCCAGGTATCCATTCACATCTTGCGTGTCACCTGTTCTGAAGCGTGGAGGCACACTTGAATCACCTATGGGTACCTGGGTCCCAACTGGGAAAGATGATGAATGGTACCGGGTATGACAGAGTGGGAGATGGGAGCTCTCAAGTTCCATAGTAATTCTAATGTGCAACGGAGTTTCTAAACCACTTTTCCCTGCAATCCTAGCTGGGTACCTTTTAAGGGTTTTTCTGTGCTGGAAAGATTAAGTGGATGTTTCTCCCTAATCAAGAGTTAAATCTGAAAACCATATCTTATCCTTAAGGGAATAATTTGCATGAAGATACAAAGAGAAAAAGGCTGAACTGGAACTCCTTAACTGGTTATCATGAAACACTTGGAAGCCACTTCCCATTAACAAACAAATGCTACACATGAAACATCCTGTCTCCTTTTAGCTGTACTGTTCATGCCTCCATGAACATCTCCTTTTCCTGAAACCCTAACTTTAAAAATATTTACAGCTAATGTATTTGCAGAGTTTTAATATACAGTTGTCTCTTGAACATGGGTTTGAACTGCACGGGTCCACTTACAAACAGGGTTTTTTTCAATAAATACAATCAGCCCTCCATATCCCTAGGTTTCACATGGCGGATTCAACCAACCACACATGCAAAACAGCATTTTCAATCCACCATGGGGAATCCACGGAAGTGGAGGGCCAGCTGTATGCAGCTCTACGCTTTTTTACATAAGAGACTTGAGCGTCTGCGGATGTTGGTATCTGCAGGTGTGATAACACCAATCCCCATGGATACTGAGGCATGGCTGCAATTAAGTTTGGAGAAGTCAAAAGTTACATGCAGATATTTGACTGCACAGGGGTCAGCTCTCCTAACCCCCACATTATTCAAGGGTCAGCTCTATTTGGATTTATATCAGTGTCATTTTAAATAGCAAGTTTCCAGCTTTTTGATTAGCTTTTATCTTAAAATATAGCAGGGCATGCCTAGAGCTAAGTTAGACCCACATTAAGATGTGACTATTGTAAGGCCTTCACTGAACCCAGGTTTCCAATCAGGTCTCTACTCAGGCTAGCCCAAGCTCCCAACATCTCCCCATGTGCGTGGGTTTGAGGAACCGCTCTCCAACAAGTCCCTGGTCACTGTTCTTCCCTGCTAGTTCTTCTGTGCATCAGCGAGTCACGCCCTAAGCACACATACCTTAAATTCAACCGGAAGTCTCAAGGGACAATGTATTAGTTTTCTTTTGCTGCTATAAAAACAAACTACCACAAACAGAGTAGCTTACAACACAAAAACGCACTCCCACAGCACTGAGGTCCTAACTGAACCCCCAAACTGCATCCGTCTGCAGGCTCTAGGGGAGAGCAGGATGTTTCCTTGCCTTTGCTCGGTCCTACAGGCTGCCTGCGTTCCCTGGCTCATCACCTCCATCTTCAAGGCCAACAGTGCAGGATCTACCAACCTCTTTCTCCTCCCATCTTCACATCATCTTTTCTCTGGTATCGTTTCCTCTTATAAAGACCCTTGGATTACACTGTGCTCTCCTGGATAATCCAAGTTAATCTCCCCACCTCAAGATCCTTACAATCCCATTTGCAAAGCAACCTTTTACCACGCAATGCAACATATTTACACGCTCCGGAGACCTGGATGTGAACATCTCTGGGGGCCCATTAATCAACCTTCCACAAACCGGTAGCAAATTTCTGGACCCCTTTCACTGAACAGCCCCCACCTCTCCTTACTCTGTCCTACACATCACAGCTGCCTTAATCTCCCCGAAAACTGCTCCACATGTCCCCCCCTGTCAATGCTGCCTCCCTACTAATTATTCCCATAGGTAACTCCATTTCCCTGCCTCTGGGGAGCAGTAATGAGTCTCCCCCACCCCATGAGGAGGGTGCTTGATTCCTATGCTGCTGTTTGTTGATGGTTCATATTCCTTGAATTACCTGTGAAAATTCTTGTGTTCTAAGGACTGATGATAAGGAAAATTCCTGTATGTGATTAAAATACGTTGGGACCGTATAAAATCGATATTACTTCTGTATAAGGAGAGATTTTAGGTAAAAAAAAAAAAAAGAGACATACTTTCACTTTCTTAAGTATTTTCTGAGTTTATTGTGTTTTACCCATGAAAATAAAACAGTGGTAGAAAATGAATTCCATGATGAACAACTATGTAAATGGTGGCAACAGCAACATGACAAATCAGGTGATGAACCAAATGGAAGAGACTCGGTGTAAAGGCCCTGTTCTAAAGTGGGCGGTTGTGAATGTCCTGGCGGTCATCACGGGAAGAGGCACAGTAGAGGTTTAGCATCAGGTCTTGCTGGGTGAGACCCAGAAACCTTCAGAGTTAGGAACAGCAACACTGTTAGATTAGCACTGGCTCTCATAATCACATCTAGTTCCGCAGGACAGCCAAGCCTTGCTCCAAGTGCTAGAACTTAAGTAAGCAGATGGGTACTGCCTTCAATTTTAAGCCTGGATTTCCAAGATGCTTCAGCAGTACCATGAGTTAGTTATACCAATTATTTATCTATTTCCATGACAGAAAAAATTTCTTTATAGATGTTCGGAAATCAGGTAACCTGATCAGCATTCAGTCTTGGCAAAGAATGACAATTTGCTCCATTTTATGTATGTTGCCCACCTGCAGTCTGTTGGCTCACAGACTTCACTACCCACTAAAAATCCTTTAGGTAGAATTTGACACTTATTACAACTTATTTCCCTCTACCTCACAATCTTACCAACTGGACACTCCCCTAGCCCTCTCCTAAAACAAACTTTCAGTACTACCAAATTGTTCTATGATACATTATAAAATACATAAAGGAGGGCAAGTTTGTACAATGGGAACGTCTTCTTCAGTACGGACCTGGTAAGTTTATAATTGGCCTTGAAACTCACACATTTCCTATAATAATTACTCACGTGCTTCCTATAATAATTACTCCTACAGACCTGGTGGTCATAATTGGTTAGAACACTATGCACGGAGGTCACTGTGCCTGTATAATAGACACCAGGTTTGGTCCACTTCCAGTATCTTTTAGACAGGTCTTATATTCTGTAACTTGCATTAAAAAAAAAAAAAAGAAAGAAAAAAAACACCTCTCAATAACCTTAGTATTTGAGTAGAAACTGATCTTCCTTTTTCTTTTCTCCCCTATCACATTACAAAACCAAGGATAACATTACCCACTTACCAAGCCACTTTTCAAATGAGATTTATAGACCCTACAGCTTTGTACAAGTGTGTCACTTACCACTTAACGTTTTTGATCTAATTGGAGGCAAGCCCTTCTTCTGTCGCTCTTTCTCCCTTTCTCTCGCTCTTCTCTCACTGGAATACGAACGTGATGATTTCCTTTTTCTTTCCCTTGAGCGCGAGCGTGATCGCTTTCTGTGTTTACGCTTTCGAGAACCAGATCGTGACCTAGACCTTCGTTTTCTTGGTGATCTAAAAAGAAAAACCGTTATTTTATTTCTAATGATCAATGTTACTCGTCTATCACTAGGTGAGAAAAACAAAAACAAGGTTTTTAAATCTTAAAAAAGATGTAGGTATCATCAAATATCACACATGCATTCTCTAAAGTCTGTGTGCTACTCAGGCCCACACTGGCTGTGGGTACTTGTCTTCAGTAGCTCTTGCTAAGCCTGGTTAGTGTTCACAAGCACAAGAGAGAACCAGGAGAAGGAGACGCGAGTGAGGAGTGGAGTGCGGGCCTCATTTTCCCTTAGTGTCTTCTAATCGTTTTCCCAACAAGACTCAAGAACAGGGATGAAAAACCAAAGAAACACAAAAAGATCCTTTAGGTGATAAAGATGTTACATTCTTAAAATTAGGCAAGAGAGAATGTTTCCAACAGAGCATTAGACCACTACATAATTCTGCTTACAAGTTTTCAACTTCTAAAATTTTGCTTGACTTCACATTATAAAGTGATACTGAAACAGTTTCTTTTTTGCCTGTCAACCACATGCCAATGAACTCTCCAAAATGCTTAGTAAGAAGGTGTTGCAAGACAAGTAAAGCTGCTGCTATGCCAAGCTACGACACAGAAGTTTCAGCACTAACACTGTCACTGCTTTAGCAAGATACTGTTGACATGAAGTGGATTTAGAGGAAGTTGAACTGACACGCTCTCATTTACGAGAGGTAAATACAAATAATTTCTAGAAACTAATAAATGACTGAAAAAAATGATCAAAGATATCACCCCCTCCTCTAGCATTTACTGTTCAGATTTTCAGGGTATTCATATGCAGAAAATAGGGTATGAAAAAAATGTTAAAGACTAATGATTTTCAGATTTAAGAGAAAAATACAATAGAATTGCTAACACTGTTCCTACAGCCTGATTTAACTGTTGTTGAGAAGCATTACTATCCTAACAGCCTGAGGTGTCATCAAAATATTACTGACTAAAATGAGATATAATCCAAAATCTAAGTCTCATAATATCGCTGTGATTCATATATAATCTTCAAATAAATGGTCACAGATATAGCCAATTAAACAAAGTATTTTCTGATTTTCAAATTCTGAATTACTTCTTTCTGAGAAAATGTAAGATGTCACAAGAAATAAAATTTCCTTAAATCTTGATGCAAAGAAATAAAGCCAACATTTTAAAAGTTTACACACAACTATTCTTAAATATTACTGCAGAACCTTGAACGGGATCGTGAGTGTGTTCTCGATCTCGAGCGAACAGCCACTTTCTTTGCTTCTTGTTCAAAGATCTCCTCTTCCGCTCCATCTTGCCCTTCATCTATATCCATGTCCTAAAAAGTCAGAAGAAGAGCAAACAGACAAAGTGCCTGGTTTAGATTCAGGACATGTTGACAATTCTGCCGAACAAGAGATTCACTACAGTAGCATTAATGCCTAATAGTAAAATGGTTAGAGTGCGGAGCTTAAGTATGGGGAGGAAAGCAGGGCATTACCATTATTTTATATAAAATATTTAATATAAAATAAAAATTACCATACTTTATTTTTCTCTAACTAGTTTATAAATATATGACCCAGAAAAGCATTTACTCTTTACCTGTTGCTGAATATCTATGGAATCATCCAAATTTGCTTCAGGTTCAAGGAAATGCTGTTGGCTGCTCCCCTGTGACGGTGACGCGGAATGCTCGGACCCAAATGTTCCTTCTTGACTATCCTGAGGGGTTGCCTATTGAGGATGTACACAAACACACAAACATTGGGAAATAATGAATATTACTACAAATGAAAATGAAAACATGCAAACATTATAATGAAATTTTTAAGAAGGAACCCAATCCATTAAGAAATCCCATGTTTAATCTTTTATAATCTAAATTTATACTTCTGTACAAATCAAGTTAATTAAAAGCATACAACATCATAAAAGGGGGAGAAGACTGTAATAATTAGAATAGAATGGTAAGATCAATCAGGTCTTTAAATAAATTTTTAAGTGTGGAAAATATAAACCAAGAATAAAGGGATAATATGATGAATGACATATTATGGCCCTAAATGAATCTAGAATTTAATTGGCAATTTGCATTTTTATGAAATGTTGTAAATGAAAATCCAATGAAATATTTTATATTAAAGAACTAAATCACATATTACATGTAAAGAAGCAAAATGAAGCTCAAATGCCAATATCAAAGTCACTGATTTAGCAAAACAATTCTCAACTCGGGCTTTCCCCAACATCCATCTTGAGAAATTCACAAAATAATATTAGAAAGTACCCTGCAATGTGTAAAACATTTCAGAAAGCCTAATAAAAGTTAGGCAATGAAGCCTAATTATAAGAACATTTAAAATGTAAACCGGTTTTTTCCCTGGGATTAGAATTACAGCAACTTGATAAGCTACACTGCTTACATGATGCTAATCAGTGTGAAACTGATTAGCAATTACATATGCATACTATGGTGATAACTAAAAATGAGAAACTATTATGGAAAAATAAGTCTCGCTCCATAAATTCTCCTAAAACATATCTTGCAGGTGTTGAAGATTAGTAAAAATGGTTCCTGGTGTCGAAGGTTAATAAAAATGTTCCTGGTGATACACAAGATGGGAACTACTGTAATATTTAACATTGTAGAGCAACGGAAAACTACTGTTCCCTTGCTACAAACTCTGATTGTGAACAAGGTACTCGAACTCTGAATTTCAGTCTTCCTCTGTGTAAAAGGAATACTAGCATAGTGATTATAGACAACTATATTGTTTATAAACTTCAAAATTGCCAAGAGACTAGACCTTAACTGTTTCCAGAACAAAAAGAAATGATAATTATGTGACATGACAGAGGCATCAGCTAACAACACTACGGTGGTGAAATACTGCAACATGTCAATGTATCAAAAATCAACACCTTGTACACCTTCAACTCATAAAATGTTATATGTCGATTACATTTCAAAACAACTTTTTTAAAAAAATGACTCTTTAAGATGACATTTAAACTGAAAGAAAAGAAAGCAGCATAAAAATAAAGAACCAAAAAGAACATTAAAGAAACATTCCAAGTCTCTAAATTTATGAAGGAAAAGGTTCCCTGAGGACAGTAACATTTTCAAGGTTTAGAAATAAATCAAAGCTGAAGTTAGAATTAGAAAGACATCTATTATTTAAATACCTGTTTTATACCACAGTATTGACCAAAAAGTTAGTAAATAAGGGTGCTCTTCCAAAACAAATCAAACAAATGTGTTTTAAGCATAGTCCTGACTTATGCCTTTAAAATGGTGCAAAAACAATAAAACTTTTAACACAGGAAGATAACTTCCAACTGCATCCTGAGCCTTACTATTTGGTCCTATTTCGGTCCTTATATAGTCGTCACATCATTTATTTCTTACTCCACCACTCACCTTATGCCTCATTTCTACTCCATCCCTCTCCCCGTTTCTCACCCTTCATTTTCTATTTAATAGTTAACCACTGAAACCCATTGCAACCCAGGACCCATTGCAACCAATTTTAGTTTTTGAGTTTCTTTTTTGAGCAGCTCTACCTACTTAAAAAGATTGACATTTTCATGACTTTTATTCTTTCTTAGAAGTCCTATGAAAAACACAGAGAAAATTCTGAACTTTAAAAAGTCCACTAAAATGTATACCTAAGTTATGGTATCAGGTATAGGGCTTCTTTTCCCATATGTTGAAACATTCTGCTATTTCATCATCCTAAGAATTATTCCATTCTTACTCATCAATTATACCCAATTATGTAAAAAAAAAGACTCAAATAATAAGTAAAATTAAAAGCATTAAAATTTTTGACAAGGGTGTTTCAACAGTGAAATAAATCATCATTCAGTTTTACTACACTACCAAAAATATTGCTTTATATTTCAAGAAGGTATAAATAAGCTTGGAGACACCATCTTTGTTGTCTGCTTTTAGCTTTCCTTGGAACATGGTTATATATTTAATTTTTCATTTTCTGTCCATAATGGCATAAAACAGAGGAACATATTTCACAATTATGAGACAAAGTAGAAGATGAATGCAAAGAAATGGCCTCATTCTACACTTCAATGATGGTGAAACTGAACATTTAAGTGAAATATTAGACTGAGTTTTCATATGAACATATCCTAAATGTATTTCTCAAACTCAACTGATGAGAGAAAAATGTATCTCTAAGGACAAAAATAGGGTACTTTCATCCAATCTTGTCATTCACCAGGAAGGACTACCAGGAAGGACTCCATCTTGTATTTTTGCGACAGGAACCTGGGCTGTTTTGTTTTGCTAAGAAGTTGTGACATTTGAATTAAGTTGAAATAAAAAGGTATGCTACATTTCAATTATATTAAAATTCTTTTTAAAAAAATTTTCCCCCTATCCCTTTAGTCTCACTTCTGTAAATTACTTGGAAGATGACATGAAAATATTTTTTAAAAGGCTCCACTGGACCCAGGTGACAAATGACTACTTTTTCCTGATGTACTGGTATATATCCTTAGGATACATCCTAATATACATCTAATTTCTTCAATGATGTCCCATGCAAAGTATCAATAAAAACAGAAAACAAGGATAACAGCAACTAGCAGAGATGTCTTTCAGGGTTGCATGAACACTCATTAAGTGTCACATTTTGATCATTTATAAATCCACTTTCCTGTTTTTCTTTGTGACAAGACAGACTGTTGAAGGCCTTACTGAAATCCACACATGCTATCCTATGCCTACAGCATTTCCTTGATTTATGATTGTAATAAACCTACAACCTCATTACCCTGAAATACAGTTTATTTAAGCCTAGAGACATCAACTCATTTAATGCAACTCAAGGCTCTTAATGTATCACCCAGCTTAGGTTTTATCATGTTCAATTCCACTCTTTCCATTATATTCTCCTATGTAAAAAATTACTGAAGCAAAATAAGTTACATATTTCTAACAGCCCCCTGGCAGCTCTTCATTATTAAGTGGCTGAATCGTCTATAATCTTTTAATTCCTACCATTCTTTTTAAAGCCCTTTTTATTAGTCTTACCATTTTCATCATCAGCATTTCTTTTTGAGCTATAGCTCACCTGACATCCTTTGAATATTCTGATAAAACAATTATCAAAACCAAGAACTCCAACTTCCTCAAGGTAACAGAAATCATTCCCCTTATGACATGGTGATTTTCCTGTTGTCGGGGATACTAGACCTCAACAAGCATCCAGGTGTGGTTAGGGCTGCAATGCTTAGAGAAGCACTAGCAATTCTATTCTCTAACAACTTTTAGGCAGCCATATTAAACTTACCAGTAAATAAAAACACTTAAATTTTTCTGCATATTTCACCCTATCTTAAATACACTAAGGCAACTGGATTTGTAGAGCCAATTACACAATTTATTAAATTTAATTGTTACCCTATTGATATATTCTCCAATTCTACATTTGTTGTAAACACTATCCACCTTATGCATTAGAAAAGTTGTTTTTCTTCACCATTACCTTTTTTTCATCACTCATTTTTGAACAACAGAGCTTTAAAGAACATCTACTCCTTCCAAACGGGTCTTAAGACTGTATCTTCTAAAATTCTGGAGATAATATATAGAGCAATTATCTACGCCAAGAGGTGTTTTTATGTGTGTGTAGGGGAGGTAGGCCGAGAGGGTGTTGAGATTCTTAGGACAGAATCACTCTCGTTTCAAGTTCCTATTAACTTTCACTTTTCACTTCAATAAATTGGTGCTAATTACAGCTGGTCAAGAGTACTATTGGGTTGTCAGAAAAGTCATGATGCATTTTTGCAACGAAAAACAGAAAAAAATGTCATGACTTTTCAAACAACCTTGATTTTCCTGCCTCTACTAAACCTTGTGAAATGAAACTAGAATTAAAGTGGTTCAAAAGTATCACATTTATATATGAACAAATCTGTTGTTTGGATAAGCTGTCACTACCTCTTGCCTCTGTAACAGCTCTTTTGATTTTTTTATTATATCACTAACAACTTGTTTCTTTTCCTTGAAATACAACTTGTATTGTTCTTTCAACAACATCCAAATGTTCTTCATTGGGATCTATCTACAAGTTCCTGAATTCTCAGGCAGATATATGTTTGCCTAACATAAAATACTGCACCTACTCCAAACAGTGCTATCAGAATTGTTTCTGCAAAATAAGGTATAGAGTTCCATTCCATAATTTCCAGGTACAAGTTCCTAGCAACTATCATTAATACTAATCTCATATTTACTATCTGCATTAAAAGGACAACTTCAGATCCCAGCAGTGTCTAAGGTGTGCCACCCTTTCGATCTAAAGTATCTTCCCTCTTCCACACTCCCCACCTTTCTCTTGTACCTGTTACAGAAACTTGATTTCTCCTTTGTATTCACACGGAAGTAGGCACTCCATAAAGAAGTGGTTACCTGAGGTCTTGCTTTTCTGTTCACCTCTGTGTATATCATTTGTCTAGCAATGCATACTTAAAAATATTTGTGATGTTGTATTACATTCATTTGCGCCAAAGAGCTTTGAATATTAGGAAGAAGTGTGAGTGCGGGGAATTTCCAAACATGTATATGCCAAACAGTTTACATCTATAAGTGCTTCTCAGGTAGAGCAAAAACAGAATTTGTAATGGATTTTAATCCTGACTTTGAACTTGAGATATTTGATCAATTCTAAGGTGTGCTTTTCCTTCACTTTTGCTCATCCCTAAAATTTATAAAATTCTTACAACTCCGTGGGATGTTACACTTTAGAAGAGATTAAAAATTCTTAGCTATACATAAACTGTCTTGAGACTAATGATATACATCAGCTGTATACTTTTTGCATTAGATGTTTCATTTCACTGAATTTCAATTTCCTGTGGTGTAAAATGGAGTCAAAGGCCTATCTCATAAGCATTAAATGTCAGCATTTCTAAAAGTTCCTGCCACATGGTAACAGCCTAAGTAAGGGCAGCAATCTATTTTATCATCATCACCATCAACATGAGCAAAATCATCATCAGCTTGCTTGCTAAGGAACTGAGTGGAGAGGAGAACATGTGACATTTTAAGTCATAATACTGAAACAGCATCTGTCTTCTGTTCTACACTTCCAGGATACTGAAGTTGAATTCTACAATGTTCTCAATCGATTCATAAGTTGCCAGAGCATACTGTGATTACAGAAAAACTGTAAAGGTCCTGAGGAGACTGATCGCCCTAGTAATCAGTAGCTGAAGAAAAATTCCCATACTTGAGACACGCCAATTCATAGACTACAGACAGCAGTTAACTCTGAAGACACAGGATGGAGTTATAGACCTTTTGAGGCTGCTGCTGCTCCAGGAGCTGCTGTCTGAGATGTTCCAGGTTTTGCTGTTGTAGTTGTTCTGCTATCTGATGAAAAATGGAATTGTTCACAGATTCCGAAACATGAGCACTAAAAGGAAAAAGTGGAAATTGATTTTAAAACCCAGTGGAGAAAATATGGAAGTAACTGAGTATTCAAACCTCCCCAAATACCAAATAAATGAAACATACTCTACTACAATGTTTACTTTTGAAATATTAACAAAGAAAATGGAAAACCTCAGAACATTAATATGTTAAAACAGAAATACTCTCCAATAGTGTTTCAATAGGACATGTTAGAGATACTCTGATGAAGATCTGATATTACTATCTCACACTATTCAATATAAATAAATTAGTACTTTTTACATTAGAATATTTTAAGAAAAGCTCAGTAAAACACTTAAAAAACAGTTAAAAAGCATTTAAACATTGTCACTTTAACTTCTCTATGAGATAGTGGGAGAAATGTTCTATCAATAATAACATAAGAAATGTACAATTATAACTGACCATAAACTTCATAAAATTAATCTGCTTTCGTTGAAAAGCATTCACATTAGGTATGTTAACAGAAACAACGTTTAGAGAAGAGGAAATAATTTAACTGAACTCTGGGAAATTCACACCTGGAATACACCTGGAATTCTGGGCATGAACAAAAAAGAGGGCATCCCAAAAGGGACAATCAGGATGGTGAGAAGTCTTGAAACAGTTGAAAAAAAGAGTACGTCATCTGGAGCAAATAAACCTAAGGGGAAGAATGATACCTATCTTCAAAAACTGAAGGGCTAAGTCTCAAAAGATAAAGGAGCAAATTTGTTTCCTTGCTTAAGAAAGCAAAACAGATGAATGTGTAGAAAGCAAATCAAACAAGATTTGGTAACAAAACAACATACAGCAATAACAATTACTGACTTCTCCTAATGGAAGGCATTAAGTAAAACTAACCCCTTGGAAAAACACCATCAGGACCATTAAAGGAGATTCTTATATTGCTCAGGACACTGATCTACATGATCTCAAATGCTTCTTCTAACTCTATAAATCATAATGAAAAATATTAGTTTTTAATTTTTTCAAGTAGAATCTCTTTACCAAAAGGATTTATTTGTATGTTTATACATTATATAAATAATTTTTAAATATATTATCCTAATATATAAAACTATTAGCTCTGTTCAAAGCAAGATTCCCCGGGGCTTTCCCCATTCATCACCCCTCTTCCATTCTCCAGCCTTCCACACACCGCACCTTCCCTCTCCCCTCTCCAACTACCTACTCCCGGCTGGTCCTTTCACAAACCCTCACAGAACCCTGGGCTCTGCAGAAGGTTTTGGGAAAAAAAAGAAACATGATCTAAATAAGAACATATAGCCCATTTCTTTAAAAAACAAAGTTCCTATTTGGATTACTTCCCAGAAGTGACCACTGGCAATAGAAGCAAGCTTCTGTACTATTATTTCAAATAGTCTTATAAGTGAGTTAAATAATTGAAAGCCTAATATAGAGAAAATATCACTAGATTTATCAACATTTATCAACTTTCCTATACTTTTGATATAGCCCAACTATTTGCAAAGATCTGAGAGTCAAAATAATATGGCGAGGCAACAAGCCGGCAACCCTACCATCTTGCTATAATGTTACAACAAAACAGCCTGAACTAATAACCCAACTTATTCAAAGCATACTAAGTAGTTCAGATGGCAACATCCCATCCAACGTTTATAAAAATAACAGAAAAAAATTATGGTTATTAAGAAAAAAACATAACAATTCTTACAGTTGAGAAGTTGGAATTTCCTTTTTGGCTTCTTCACTGTGCTCAGAATCTTCCCCAAAATCAAACCTATCCATCAACTTCTAAGTGGAAAAAAAAGAAGAGATAAATTAAAAAGTGCTTCTTACAAAAACGTTACAAATGTTATTTTATTTAAAGGTCATTGCCATCCCACTAATTTATCTCTACCACTTAATATGAAAATGTTTCACATCATTTTATGTCATACTATACTAGCTAAAACATTTTATTTGAGTGTATCTTTACTTTTCTTTAAAGTATTTTCATTTACATTGCCTTATGTAACAAAACAAATCATGACACACGGAGGATAAATACTAATATTCTAACTTTACAAAAGAGATTAGAATTAAAATAATTAAGTGACTTGCTAATGATAATAAAGCTTGATAAAAAAACACCTAGGACTAGTCTACTTTTCTTAGAATGCTCCACTGTTTCCTAAATGATCAATTTAAAGGCTTTTTATGTGGCCTACCTATTTACAGTCAGACTAAGTTATACTTGGAAGCTGCTGGATTAAAAAAAAACAAACACAAAAACCTAGCTAATAACCCAATAAATCTGTATTTTCCTATGAAAATAATAGTAGCAGAAATAAAAATATGGATATCATTTCAAGGTATTTTAATAGTCCCATAATTAACTAGAATACTGAGGATAATCACATGATAAACTACACAAAAAAGATTTTTCACCTTTAAAAACATTACAGTTAGGCCCCAACTTATCAAAATATTATATAACAGTGACAACTTGTAGAGTTGTTTCTTGAACTTACACACTGAACAGTTTTAATGTTAACACATTAAAATTACAGAACATAGAACACCATACTTAATATATTTGTAGCATCCAAAAAATAAATTTAAAAATTTAGAAGATAATCGTTTGCCTCAATATTGAATATACAATCTTACTGACCTATAAATCTTCAGTCAAAAGAAAATATTCTAAATTTTCAAGTGGAATTATAAAATTACAGTACTTAATTTCTTTCAGAAGTTTCAACCTTTTGTACAACGATGTTGTAATACAGTACAGTAGATATTGAAATAGTTCTATGATAAAATGTAATTTACAGAATTCGAATCCACATACAGTACATAAAATTCAGTAACTCATATAGAACAGAGCTGATGTCTTAATTTCTACCTTGTTAAAGGCCACTCCCTGTTCTAAGGGATTGAGTGTGCTCGCTGCGGCAGCCGCAGCTGTAAGCTGAGCCGTCAGAGCCTGCAGCTGAACCACAAGCCCAGCATCCAGGGCCTGCAGGATGGAGGGCTGAGGCTTCTGCTGCTGTATCTGCAAAGTCTGTATTAGCTGCTGAAACTGGAAGGGAGGAAAAGGAAAATTAATACAAACAAGTGCTGGGTTTTATCTACAAGAACACCCATCTAAAACTGTTAGTCAATAAAATTCATTCTAGTCTTTGGAGAGCAGGAAAAAATATAAACTAACTCAAAACAACAGCTAATTTTTTTTTTAAAAAAAGACCTTGTGTGCCATATATAGCACATTCCTTAATAAGTTTGTCTTGCTTCTAGAAAGTCACCGAATTTTAAACAAAATAAAGTGCTCCTACAATGATAAAGTGCTCGTACAAAGATAAAAGAATTCATCACTAGCAGTCTCATTGTTTTCACTAAGCCTTTCATCCCTTCTTCAATGAACTGCTTCACCTCTGTAAAAGGACAAGCACTGACCACAACTGCTTTTGCTATCTTTCAGATGTGCCATCTGAAAACACATTTCCTGAAAGCAGGAAAAGCAAAGAAAACTATCCTTTGGAGCAGTCTGAATCTAAAAAAATTAAAGGTGAACAGTGTCAACAAGAGTTTAGAGCAATTCCTGTTCCCCCTATTCATCCACCCTCTTAAAAAAAAAACAGAAATAATAATAAGATTCTGAAGGCATTTTCAAGGTTAAATAGAAAGCCTGCGTAAATCCTAGAATTAATATTATTCTAACCAATATTTAAACCCAAATTAAATCTGAAAATGATCAGCTTAGAATAGAAAAATAAAAATAGCAAAGCTATTGCTAACCTAACATTTGTGCTTTTTATAACAAACAAGTCATTTAGCTATCAAACATTTACTACAGACCACTAATGTAACAGCCAAGAAAATAATATAAAAATATATGACCATCAAGTTACTGCAGTGAGGAAGCTACAGAGCAGACAAGATGGATGGAGGGAGGGAATAAAGGGAAGGACAGGGAAGGGAAGGGAGAGAAGAGGAAAGACAGGAGGGAGGGAGGGAGCGCCATGCCTCTCCTTGGCGCACCGTGCCTGCCCCTCCTGACACCCCCATTGTGCCCCATGGCACAGCTGCTCTTCAGTCATCCAGGTTCAAGCCACTACAGGCTCCCTTTCCCTTCACTCTGACTTCATATTCTATCAATTACTATGTCTTCTTGACGGTCTTGTACTATTTCTTCTGGGAAATCACTTCTCCTGCCAAAAGTATTTAATAGCTATTTTAAAAACTGAGAACATTGGCTTTATGGATTATTTTCAAAATATTATCACAAAATAAAATTAATAATTTTATGTGTTATCAATTCAGTTTACCAACTGCCCCAAAAGTGTAGAAACTGGGTCCAATCTATGACTGTAAGTGAATTGGTTTTTACATTTTTAAAACTCTACAATGGTCCCATTTTTTTTTTGAGGCTGTCCTTTTAGAGTCCATAACACTATTGTTCACATATAATTACTTCCCTTCCAGTATCACTGTTACCAAAACAAAGATACTTCTATCTCCAGACCTTTTCTCGTCTTCCATCCATTTAAGTGTATTCAAGTGCTGTACAATTCATGTGAGACTGGCTTCAACATAAAAATCTCTGGCTATTCCCCACTGCTTGGCATATCAAGCCTGTATTTCTCAGCCCACCATTTATGTCTTTTGAAACCCCGGTCCCATACTTAGGTCTTCCATTTCAACTTTGTAACTAATAACTTACATGTCCAGACAACTCAACTCTGAAACATCTGTTGAATACCCAATATTGTTATGCCTTTCTACATTAGTCATTCATTCTACAAAAATGTACTGAACAACTGCCATAACCTAGAAACTGGAGATACAGGAGTGAATAAAACTGACAAAAACCCTTGCCCTTGTATAGCATGCCTTCCAATGGGAAGAGAGAGAGAATAAATAAAATAAATAAGTAAATTACATAACGGAACAGAAGGTAGTAAGTGCCAAGGAAGGAAATAAGGCAGGTGACAGAGAAAAGGCACATAAGGAGATGAAAGGCAGAGTTTGCAGTTTTAGATCACTGTGCAAAGGCCTCATTGGGCTGACATTTAAACAAAACCTTACTGGTGGTTGAAACCACGTGAATACGTGAGGAAATTCAGTAAGTTTTACTTACAGATCACAATTAATTTGGTCTTTAGGTTAAAAAAAGAGAGATGCTAATGATGGGCTATCCTGCCATTTCAAGTCTCAATTCAAATGCCACTTCCTCAAAGACACCTTCTTGTGGCTGGCTACTCTCTCTAATTCTGACCCTTTCCTCCAAAGCTAGTTAGTCACTCTAAAGACTTACTGTTTTAAGTCACATATCACTATCTAAATAATGCTTTATACTTTTTTATTGTCTGTCTCCCCTAACACAGGAAGACATTTTCTCCAAATAGAAGACCTCCCTGTCTCAATACTGGAGTAACAACAGTACCTAATAATGCTTGGCAGAAACTATGTACACTAAATTAATATTTTGGTGCAAAATTAACTTTTTATAAAACATTCTATAATAACATAAAAGTGTTAATGCATTACTAAATGAAAAAAGTTACATAGTACTATATATAGTGTGATACTATTTTTAACAAAATAAAAACACATTCTTTAGGTGGTATATATATATAATGTACATATTATGAAACAATACATTAGGAAAATAGTGAGTTTCAAATCATTATCAGCATAAGCAAAAAGCTGCTTACCTGCTGGCCTTGAGGACTTTGCAAGATCTGAGCTACGGCTGTGAGGGTATCTGTATTTGCTATCTGGGAAACCCATGGATCAGGCAAACCTTGGACCACAGTGGCTGGAGTAACAGGAGTCACAGGAGTTCCTTTTAAAAAAGACACCACACCCACCCCAATATGTAAGTCCATAAATAAGGCTTAAAAAAGTAAACAGATTTGCTGTCACTTTTACAAAATATATACAAATTTAAATAAATGTTTTTACTGTCTCCATACAGAAAAATCCTTACAGAATTAGGTAGGTTAAAATGAAGAACCAGGAAGATGGCCCATGCATGTCTTCAGTTAACTAAGCTACAACTTTAAAAGAGCCGGCAATACTTAGCAGTCACTAAAAATCTTACTACAGAAATAAATTCAATTATGTAACGAAATGTTCCAAGTACAATCTTTAACGAAAAATTATAATAGTATGTATAAAACAATTTTTGTTCAAAAATTTGTGTGCGCAGGCACACACACATACCAAAAAAGTAAATAAATATATACCAAAATGTTAACAAATGTAATCCTTGGACAATGATAAAAAATTATAAATTTCATTTAAATACCTCAAAAAACGATTTTGAGATTAGTAATAAAGCATCCGTGACTCCATTAAATCATTTTTTCAGGGTTCCTTATAAATACTAAGTTTCTCTGGTATACTGTGAATATCAAGTTGATTTGCATGCAAATGTAAAAGATTACAGACAGCCTAAATCAGGAAAAACCTAACTGACACATCAATTTCCCAAAGTTCATTATATTTATATTTCTAGGGATTAAAACAATTCGGCTCCCTAATTTTTAGAGAAGAATTACGCACAAATATAATTTCTGATTTTATTTTTCCTTCAAATTATCTTCCCTTTCTATTACCTAATGCTAGACAAATTATCTGGTAGTCAAATTGTTATTTTACATATGAATAATCACCTGAAAAGTATGAGTATATTCGGAAAAGCAACGTACCTGGGGTATTGCTCATAGCAGCAGTCGCACTGGCCAGGACAGGCGTGACCACGGGAGGAGGGATCCCTGCTGCCATGTCCAAAAGAGGCTGAATAATCTCACTCTTAAATACGTTATTCTTCTGCCACAAGTTTAATACTCTCACTATTTTACTCTAGAGGAATAAAGAAAAAGGAAATTTTGATTTTTTGATTTCCTAACCTTAGCAGTCAAATAGCGACTAATTGGGCAGTGGGGTAGGAAGGATTAAAATACTTCTATAGTACTTTCCACCCCTGAAATTATATTTCTATAATTTTGCATTTGCTAACCCTCACTGGCTTGGGGAAAAAATATGTTCATTTTGACAGATATACAAGGTAAGTGAAAACTACATTTAGCAGAAGGCGGGAATGGCGACTAGGTTTCAGTTTCCACGTGAAGCCTCATGAGATCAGTCATGGACGGCGGGAACTGGGCCTGCTGAGGCAGGTCAGGATTCTTCACAGCACCAAAGTTACATTCACAATGGGTTTTCACTTTATCTTTTAAACAAATAAGTAACATCAAGACAATGTCCTCATCTTATATGCGTTTTTAAAACTTTCCTTTTAAAACTAAGGTCAAGGGGAGGTTATTTCCTCACATAAGAATTTTACCAAATTTACTTTCTTTGTACAACTGTTCAGCATAGAAAAGTTATATAAGCAACACTAAGTATTAGTTACTGATGACTGTAATAGTACTTACTCCATTAGGAAAATAATTTAAATGATAGGCTGAAATTAAGTATTAACTTCTGTTAAATGTACATATTTTATAATAGTAAAATAAGCAATTCTAAGAATAAAGATCTGGTTCATCTTTAAATCCCTTACAATATTATACTGATGAATTTTCAAACTATGTCCAAACTACATTAACATGCAAACTTCTGTATTTCAAATGAAGCATAAGAAAATTACACAAAGAAATGCTTCATACCTTCTGATTTGACTCTCCTTTCTAAGACGTGAGCACTTAGAAAGTACCTTAGTCTTTTGCTTTATACAAAAAATCTTCCAGTTCCCAAGACTCATCCTGTACTTCAAAATTAGCCAGTCTCTGACAAGTATCATTCTATGTATCTACCTACATACAAACAAATAATGCCTCTAGTTTATGATTGATATTACAGTATCAATGTAATCTTTCCTATTATGGTTAAAACAAATCCTTATTATCTTAAACTCTATTAGTATCTTAAACTCTTTGAGAAACACTATTATTATGAATTCTACAAACTTAACATTGATTTGTTCATAGTAACTGATAGAAATCCAAGTACAAACTAGTGAAATTTCTAAATCAAAGCGTTTAATTTACTTCAAAAAATGTATACATAAAATTTTAAATGAGTTATTTTAGGTGGGATTCCAAGGTATCTATTTTAAGAATCAGTTACAACAGGTCTCTTAAAATTCTTTTGCCTGCATAGAATTATCAAAGTACCAAAGTAATTTTTCTAAAAAAACCTTCTGTTCTCAAGAAGTATAGCCAAGAATAGTTTACAAAGAATGATACAATAATTTATCTCCATATATATCCATTATAACATTGTTCCCTACATAATCAGGATTGCAATCAACCCTGTCAGAAGATCACGCTAAATTTCTCATCAGCATCCAAAATAAGTAAACTTCTAATATTTTTGAGCACACATGAAGATAAACAACACCTTTTTATTCTCTCTCAGGGTCTAAAGTTTCTTTTTAATGTAGTAAAGAATATTTATTCATTCAGAGCTAGCAGACATTGTGGTGTGGTTTCTAGCACTAATAAAACTCTACCAGAAAATAATTCTAATATGCAGTTAGTTATTTTCTATTAATTGCTTAGCAAAGTCGTTTTTATCAGACACTAAATAGGTAAATGAGGTCAAATAATCAAAATTTGAATTGGTCGTGTGTGTGACTACGACACCATTAGTATAATTCCAAAAGCTTATGATAGCAAGTTTCTTTAACACCAATTGCTTCAATAAATTAAAAAGTAGCAAAATCAACATCTTTCCATGCTGCTTAAGATTCTAAGAACACAAAGGAACATAGAGTGTAACAACCAAGGATTCAAATTAGGAATAACTAAGAGTAAAGGATAACATAAAATCATCAGTTAAGATAATCTAAAGAGTCTAAGACCAAAAAAGTAATAATACATCTATTTAAATAAGCCTACCTTGTCATCCCCAGGGCAACGATATAAATTCTGGAAAGTGCTAATGATGTTATTACTAAATCTGGGTGCAAACACATCCTTTTCTTGACCAAACTGATGTCGAGATTGTCGTACAATGGAATCAATAACGTAAAGTCCAGGTACCTTGTATTCTGGTTTACACTGATAAAAAAAAAAGTGGGAAGGGAAGGAAATAAGGTAAAATTCCTGATAGACAAAAATCATCATTAATCCTACATAAACACAAAACCCTCTCCACACTGAGGTAGTGAATTTTCAGACGCAGACTGTTCCACAACACCTTTGTCTGGAATGGCATTTTAAGGAGCCTACTTGGGGAGTTGGGCACAAATGCAGCATTAACAGTAACCCTGCCCCGACCTCCCAGACCTCCCTCCCCTCAAAAAAACATAATCTACTTTGGCTACTCCACACACTCACTTCGAATGCCAATCACCTACGTTCTAAAACAGGACTGAATAACTGTCCTGAATTGACCAAAAAAAAAAAAAAAAGGACAAATAGGTACTGTTATAATTAAAAATTCTGTTTAATGATTTTGCAAAGCCACATGGAAGGAAGCGGCAAATTCAGGAAAGAAAGCTCTGGAAAAAGCATTGCCAAGGTACTTTCCACTTCATCTGAAACACATAACTAAAGGGTTTCCGTACTAATGTTGGAACAAACACCAAACTGCAAATTATAACACTGTAGATACACTGAGCCCAAAGTTTCAAAACTTTTCTCAAATTCCACAACTGTAAGAAAGATGAGACACTACCATCATGACTCTAGGAATCTAGCCTATGAAAACATGTTTAGCTCCTCCACTGATAAACGTTTCTCAACCTCCTCATGCACTCCTCAATCGGAGGACGTAAGTGTCTCCTGCGTCCCTGCCACCTGCGCCACCAGCCGCCCTGGTGCAGAACCCCGTCACTAACAAGCTACCAGAGCGCCTAGCTTCTCTCCTCGTCCACAAGCATAAGAAAACCTGCTTCGCAAACATACACTAACTAAAACGGCATCACTGCTGCAAAAAGTAGGTTCAACTTTTGGGTCCAATTAGTAAGTATTTCACCCAGAGTAATTCCCTGGAAATCATATATGGCACTAGATCTAAACTGTGCTCTTCAGCAACTCGTCTTAGAAGCCTGAGTCCAGTGAGAAAGGGTCGTCAATCAGCTGGACACACCTACACGTCTCCAATGGGGTTTTAAGCTGAGACGAGGAGTGATTTTACTACAAAAAACATGGTATTTCACTTGTTCCTTCAAATCCTTTTTAAAAACCTTCTTTACGGTCTTTATTAAGTCAAAAAAATGAGGAGACCTTTAGCACCAATTCACAAGTATGTACCGCAAGATTCTGGCTGTTTTAAGTATTTCATAAAAGAGCAATAATGTTGGTGTTTGGATTTTCAAGTTTTAGGTTCAGAAATACCTGCTCTGTTTAAAGTTACCATTTTTGAAAGTCTGAAATAGTTTACCCTCAAGTTCCCCCCAAATCTAGCACGTGTCCTTCAGTTCACATTATCTGGCCAAGGCTGTTTTCCTTTGACTGCCCTATATTCAAACAAATATCTACCTAGCCAGTCAAAAAACACATCTTGGTGGGGCGGCAGGTTGGCTCAGGTGGTTAGAGTGCAGGCTCATAACACCAGGGTTGCCGGTTCGATTCTCACATGGGCCAAGGAGCCCCACACACACACACACACAACTAGATTGAGGACAACTACTTGACTTGGAGCTGATGGGTCCTGGAGAAACACACTGTTCGCCAATAAAATTTCTTTAAAAAAACACATCTTGGTGAAGAGCAGAAAACTTTTAAAAATGAAAAGGACATTCACTTTGGTAAAAATTGTCTACTTCCTAATGCCACAAACAGGTGATTAATAATTATTTACTAGCTGACTCATTGTCATTTTCATCTTCCCAATCTGATGTATAATGTATTATTTTATATAAATCATTATCTTGAGAGGAAAGAGGAATGCAATTTGTAAGTTGCTGGTAAGAGCTTTAAAACTTAATACTGAATAAGAAAGTAAGTAATACACTGAGTTTTTTAAAAAAACAAATATACCTTTTCTTTTATTTATTTAAAAAGAAACTTGGATTAGAAGCTCACGATTCAGAAGAATCATGAGTGGGCCATATAATAAATGGGCCTTCCTGGCCTGCTGTGAAGATTCCAAAGCCTCAGAAACACAGGAGCCGTTTGGTGGTAAGCTGGAAGGCCTAAGAAAAAAGCATTTCCACAGTATCTTTAGACTATATCTATAGTACTACATATGAAGATATTGTGGGAACTTCCTTCACTGGTAGATTACGCATTTTTGCCACATAAAATGGCAAAAAAAATTATAAGTATAATGTAATGTTTTCAAATAACTTAATATTTGGTAAGTCACCAACTAGAAACTTGGGAGAAGAATTGAGACCAACAAACCTGAAACGATTCCTCAATTTCCTCTTCAAGTTCTATCAGTACTGAAAACAAGAATTCTCAAGCCTTTCCAATGGCATGAGGTATTTTTTTACTCTTTGAATTTTTTTTTAAAAAGCTATGTCACTCAACTTTCAGCTATATCATCTTCCAACTACATACTAGTAATTTCCAATGTCTTGTGCTACAAAGAAATAACCCGTTTTGTGTGGGGGGTGGGGTGGGGGGGGTTAGGAAATAACATTGGGAGAATGCGCCTTTAAACATATTTGCGTGATTTTTTTATTCTAATGTTATCCAAGTTGTTATCTAAGTACCATCAGGAGTCGGCTTTCTGACAAAAAGGCCCTCTTGGGTGAACTGGACCACATTCTTTGCAATATACGAACACACTTTATATCATGATTCTATTACTAGAATTTGTGCTGCCAATTTCGGCTACTAAAAGTTGATACTAAAGAAAACAAAGCTGGAAAGGTAGAAACAGGAGCATGTGGCTGTCCCTGCAAAGCACTGAGCGATGCCAACAGTAGCATGTAAGCAGAGGGCTGTCCCGGGCCAGTCATACCTGAATTCACAGTTCTCACAGTGAATACTGGAGAAAAATCCTCTCATGCTTCTGGAGGAGAAAGGATTCATTTTAAGGCAGCCAGCAGCAGTGCTCTGTTTTTAACGCGGTCTGCTCTCTGGACAAACTGCTTAACCTGAGCCGGACCCTCCGGAGTTTAGACAGAGCCTAACTTAACTGACCAGGGGGAAAGTAACTATCCAACTCCAGCCCACTCCAGCTATCCTGTTTCACCAAAGGGGGATTTAAAAAACAACTGAAAAGCATGTTCAGGGGTACAGGCTCCATTAAAACAACTTTTAACGTCATTCTTAACAGTGACAAACTAGACGTTTTCCCACCAAGATCACGTGGGCACGACAACAGCCACGGATGCCCCTCTCACCACTGCTCTTCAACAAGATACCGGAAGTCCTAGCTAATGCAGTAAGGCATGAATAAAAGACGTACAGATTGGAAAGGAAGGTTGAACAGGAACTAAACATATACAATACTCCTAATTGAGCCTAAAAATCTTCACTGCTAACGTGGAACCAATCCACACAGTATTTCTTAAGGAAACAGCATTAAACTACGTAACTTAAAACTGCAAAATAAATGGAAAGATCAAGCAGTATTTTCTTTTAAATGGCACATATACTACTTCTACGTCATTTTCAAGATTTCTGGTGATTCAAATTTTCCAAAAAGTGTGGGACCTCAGAAATTTCCACAATAGCAGTTCTATTTCCACAACATCGACGCAGAAGAAGGTAACGGGGAATCACACTAAATGCTCTCCTCTTCACACTCACCAAACCTGTTCATATCAGTAAAGACACAAGAGAAGAAGGGTGACTATGCTCTCCACCGACACAGAGTGACACTACACAACCATGGAAGAACGGAGACAAGCAAGAAAAATTACTATCCCACTTCCTGATGAAACAAAGCTAAACAACTGCAACTTTAGTACACAGCTTAGTAAAACATCTGATGTTGAACCAGATGTGATAGATATACTGAATCTGAGTAATAGCAGTCATAAAGCAATCTACTATTTTTTAGTTTTGCTCCATCACTATAGAAACTTATTCTATTTGATGAATCATTATGAATCTAAAAAACATCTTGGTAAACAAGTTTCAATGCTGGTTGGAATTTAACTCCTTGAGTAAAGCTGATATTAGGATAAAATCTTTTAGAAATAGCCTTTAACAAAGACTTATTAGATTAAAACAATTTAAGTCTAAAAATATCAAATGTTGGTAAAGATGGGAGCAACATAAATTCACACATTACTGTGTGAACGAGAACCATTTTGAAATTAATTTGGTATTATTTAGCCAAGTTGAAGAAATGCATATCCTACAACCCAGCAATTCCACCCCCACAGAAATGTAAGCTGTACCAGGATACATAGAGGATACCAAAAAAATGTATACACATTTTAAGAATGGAAACACTGTATTAAAATTGTAATACTCAATATATACCAATTAACAAAAGATGAATACAAGTCACATTTGACTCCTGCAATTACAAGAGGTGCTCAAACTGGTTACCATCCGCGTCCAGACACTTCTGATTATGGCAAATTACTGCTTAA